ATATCCCCATCCATACCCCTCACCTTATTCAATCTTCAACTTCTCTCCTCTAAAATCCAAACCCTTACAATATTCCCTCCAAACAACCCCAACCCTTCCCCCCACATACTAAAACATAATCCACACATCCCCCTCCCCACCATATTAACATACCTAATAAACCCACCACACCTAAATCATAACCATATATACCCCAACATACCCCACTTAACACCCAACCACACACCCCCCTCTTCCATTCAAATTAACCCCTCCCCCCCCCAAATTACCCTCTCAAATCAACTAACCACACCCAAACACCAACACACAACCTATACAACTTCACCCACATATCCCCACAAACCCTATCAACCACCCACTTAACACACAATTAATACACAAACTCCACCCATCCACACAAACCAAATACAACAACAAACCATACACATCCCCATCCCCTAAAAACACCCCCCTCATAACCCTCTCACCACCACAATAAACCCAAAACCACTAACACCATCAACCCATAAAACACCCCTCCTACAAAACCCATTTCATCACCATACACTCCCTTCTCACAACCAAATTAATATCAATACAAACAAACTAACTACTTCCCCCATCCCAATACAACCCCTCCAAACAACACCCATAACCCACCCCCCCCCCCCCCTATCTCCTAATTATTCAATCAATACCCACACATTCCCCCCTCCTACTCCCTCCATCCCCAACACATACCATATTCACCCCCCTCTCACAAACCTCATCCCACCTCATTACATCCCAACACACCCCCCAACTAACCAAACCCCAATCAAATCTAAAACCAAAACCCCCTAATAAACAACTACCACCTCCCCCCCCACCCCTCCTATCTCCCACCCTCCCCTCACATCCAATCAACAATATCCAAAAACTACCCAAAACCCCCCCCAAACTATCTAAAAACAATAACCTAAAAAACCACACCATCTTAAAACAAACAAAACAACTATTAAACCTCCCACTCCCATACTATTCCCCCACTACTCCTTTACCCCCCCTACCTCTTCCATTTCCCTCTCCCCCCCATCCCACTTACCCCCATCCCCCCAAACTTACAATTCCTCAATATCTACAACTAACCACTCCTCACACCTCCCCTCCTACCAACTAACCCTCTCTATCCCAACACCCCCACCCCCACCACCCAAACATCCCAACACATATATCCTCCAACCATAACATACCATCTTCCATCCCCTTCACAACACACAATTATACAACATATCTCACCCCCTACATAATCCACTCCCCCCCCAATACCCACCCCACAAAACCACACACCAAACAACAACACCCCCCACTCCATCCCACACCCCCCACCCACCAACACACAACCCAACCACACCCCCCCCAACAACCCCTCCCCACAACAACCCCCACCCCCCAACACTACCATCCCACAAAATCCCACAACACCACACCACCACCAAATTACACCTCAACACCCCCAAACCACACCCAACACACCACACCCAAAACCAACCCCCAACAAACACTACACACAACCCCCACCCCCCCCACACCCCAAAACCAACCAAACCACCAAACACCACAACCACCACACCCCCACAACCCCCCCAACCCACCCCCCAACACCCCCCAAACACACCACCCCCCCCACCAACCCAAACCCCAAACCACCCACCACCACCCCACCCCACCCACCACACACCCCACCACACCACCACCAAACCCCACCCACCCCAAACCACCACACCACCCCCAACCCACCCCCCCCCCAACCCACCCCCCCCCAACCACCACCAAACACACCCACACACACAAACTCCCACAACCCACCCACACCCCCCCCCCCCACCACACCCCCCACCCCCCAACCACCACCACCACACAACCCCCCCCCCCACACACACACACCACAACCCCCACCCCACACCACCACCAAAAAAAACCACCACCCCCCACAAACCACCACCACCCACAAAACACCCCACACCCCACAACCCCACCAACAACCCACCCCCACCCACACACACCCACCCAACACCCACCAAAACCCCCCCCAACCCACAAACACACACCCCCCAACCCCCACCCACCCCCCCCCCCCCCCCCCCAACAACCACAACCCCAACCCCCCCCCACCACACACCCCCCCCCCCCCCACCAACCACCCCCCCCCCCACCCCAACCCCACCACCCCCACCCCCCCCCCCCCACCACCACCACCAACACACCACCCCCCCACACCCACCCCCCCACCCACACCCCCCCCCACCACACACCCCTCAACCACCACCCCCCCCAAACCCACCCCCACCACACACCAAACCCACACCCCCACCCCACCCCCACCCCCCCCCCAACAACAAACAACCCACCCCAACCCCACACCCACAACCCCCCACAACACCAAACACCACCACCCACACCACCCAACCCACAAAACCACACCAACCAAACACCCAACACAACACACAAAAAAACACAAACAAACAAAAACACCACCCACCCACAAAACACCACCCCCCACCACACCAACACCACCCACCAAAACCACCAACACCCAACCACACCCACACAAAACCCCCCACCCACCCCCCAACACCACACAACCCCCAAACACCAAACCCCACCCCCACCAACCCAACAACCCCACCCAAACAACCCACCAACACACCACCCCCCACCCCCACCCCACACAACCCCACACCCCCACACCCCCACCAACCAACAAACCACCAAAAAAAACACCAAAACCAACACAACAAAACCCCCAAAAAACCACACAAACACCACCAACCCCCCCCCCCACAACAAAAAAACAAAACACAAACAACAACCAACCAAACCACAAAAAAACCAACCCCCCCCCCCCCCCCCCCCCCCCCCCCCCCCCCAAAATAAAACACAAACACCCCCAACAAAAACAAAAAAACACACCCACACCCAAACCACAACTCTCTAATAACCACATCACCCAACACACAAAATAAAACAATCCACACCACACCAAACAAAACAATCAACACACAACACCCCCACCACAACCACCCACCAAAAACCCCCAAAAAACACAACCCCAACACAAACCACCACACACAACTACCCCACACAACCAACCACACACCACACCAACCCACAACCCAAACCACCACAAAAACAAACCACCACAAAAAACTCCACATACCCACACCCACCCAACCCAAAAACAACAACACCCAACCCACAAACCACCCCCCACCCAAAAAACAACACCACCCTATACAAAATAAACACAACCCAACCACAAACCCCCACAACCTAACACTTCACCAATAACCCCATCCCCCAAACTACCCCACACCAAACACCAACCCCTCATCACACCCATCCAACACACAAACAACACATCCATTCTACAATACCTTATACCCTTCATCTTCCCATCACCACAAAAAACCACTACCCCACCAACAAACCCCCATATACCTCCAACAACTCACAAACACTATAAAACAATAACCCTCAACCAATTCCCCCCAACCCACCCCACACCCCCCACCTACACCCCCCCCTATCCCCCCCCCCTCACCACCCCCTAATAACCCTAAACACCCCCTTATCCCCACTCCCTATCCCCCTACATAACAACTCCCCATTAATCCATCACCCAACCACCCCCCTACCCCCCCTAAACCTATCTCACCCTTTACCCACACCCCCTCAAACATCTATTTCTCCATCCTTTATTCCCATCCCCACATCTAATCTTCAACAAACTCACACATTCCAATACTCCCCACCAATTTCCCTTTTCACCATTACCCTAATCTCAAAATAAAACTACAAACTCCCCACTACCCCCAACAACTAAATTCCCATCCCCACCCCAACCCAACAAATCAACAAATCAAATACATCACCATCCCTCTCCTCCTCCCCCTTCTCCCAAACCCCAACCAAACATACCCAATTCCCCCTATCAAACCCATATCCCACAAATACACCCCATATTCCACAATCTCCCAACAACCTACACCCCCACAACACTCAATACCCATCCATAACACTCCCCATTACCACTCCACACCCTCCCACTCACTCTCCCTCACACCCAATCCAACCTTATACATTACCCACTCTTCACCCACATCACCCCACTAAACAAAACTCATATAACCCACATAACCCCCAAACTCATCCACCTTACCACTACCATACAACCAAACACAACCCCACCCCCCCAACATATAACCCCATCAATTCCATACCCCCCACCCTAACCAAAAAATCTCACACCAACCCACACACATATTCCCACCACACCCCCCTCCCTTCCCCAACTCTTCAAACACAAACATACCCCTTCCCCCTAACATACCCAACCATACCATCTTCTCCATCCCTTCACCACTTAACTTACCAAACATCCCCACACTAATTTTCTACCCCCCCCATCCCATACTCTAACATCACCATTTCTTCTAAAAAATCCATATCTTTTTCCTCACCACAAACACAATACTTCCCCTACTCACACTATATACTCCCCACTTCTAACCTTTCTTTCCTCATTTCAATACAATCCCCACAAACACAAAATACATTACCCCCCCCTACTATCCCCCCTTACTCCACCCTATCCCTACTCTCACATCCCACCATTCCCAACCCCCCAACCATACCTCTTTCCACCCCCCTTCCCAAACCCCCCACCACCCCTTTATAAATTTACCTATATATCTTATCTCTCCCAAATTCACATACTCTAATTATGTGTCCCCCCCCCCCTCCCTTCAACTTCACATCTACAACAACCTAACCCATACCAAAAACTAAACATTCTCCCACAACACACACATCCCCCACCCCCCCCCCCCCTCAACATAAACCCTCTTAATTCCACTCCCCCTTACTCCTTCATACATAACTAATCCTAACACCCCACACCACCCCATCATAACTAACCAAAAATCACTACACTCACTAACAATAATTAATCATTATTCCCACCATCCCCCCCCAATCAATCAATCTACCCCTCCCCTCTCCACCAACTCCCCTTCCCCCTCCCACCCACCCAACCCACCCATCCTTCCCATACTCCCACCCACCCACCCACCCTCCTCCATACTCTCCCTCCCACCACCACCACCCATCCTCCATACTCCCCACCACCCACCCACCATCTCCCATACTCTCACCCACCACCACCATCTCCCATACTCCACCCACCCACCATCCCCATCCTCCCCATACTCCACCACCCCCCCCATCTCCATACTCCCACCCCACCACCCCCACCCATCCTCCCAATCCCACCACCCACCCACCTCCCCCCCATTCACCCAACACCTTCCCCCCATACCTCCCATCACCCACCCCACCCACCCCATAACACAAACACATTCAAACCTCCTACCACAACTCAACCCCCCATACCCACACCCTAAAACACCAACCAACCATACACAAACAACCAAAACAAAAAAAAACACACCCCTACAAACAAACAAACAAACAAACAAAACCAAACTAACCAAAAATTACACCCACATCTCTTACTACACTACTCCTACCCCCATTTCCCCCCCCTCCTCAAACTCCACATCCCCTCATCCTCACCTAGTCTTCCAATAACACTATCCCCCCTCACCCCCTACACACACCATTAAACAACCCACATACCCTACCCTCCCATTCCCTCCTACACAAAAACCACATCAAAACCACCCACAAACCAACCCTAAAACACTAACTTACCCACTCCCTCAACATCCCCAAACCCCATAAAAACCACCCTCCAAAAAAATCACAAACCCCATCCACCCCATCCCCCTCTCATTCACCCCAACCCACAATTCCATAAAACTACCCCTAACCCACTACTTATAACCCTTCACCCCCTATCCCCTTCCCCTCACAAACAACACAAACCAAATAATAATAATAATCTCTCTCACAACAAAAAATATTATTCCCAAATTCATTCCCCCACTTCATACCCCCTAAACCCCCCCAACCCCCACTAACCTAATATCACAAAAAACCTAAAACTAATCCTATATTCTCCACACCCCCCCTACTAATTCAATACCCACCACCTAAAAACCCATATCCCCTTTTCATCAAATCCCACCCACCCAATCCTTAACCCACATACCCTTTCCCCCTCAATCCCCCACGCAACAATTCCACAACATACCAAACCATATACCATTCCTACCAAAAAACCCATCCAAAACAAAATAACCCACACCCTCTATCACCTCAACACAAAAAAAATCACAACCCACATCAATTCAAATCCCCTACCAAACATCCAAACACCACTACCCATTCCCCTACATTTTCCCCCCCATCCACCCTACACCCACCACCCACCCACCCAACCACCCTTCCAACACATCACCACCAAAAAATTCCCCCCCCACCCCCCCACCCACAAACAATAATACCACACCCCCAATCCACCCACACACCAAAACAACTTCCCAAACACACACCCCAAAACAACACACACAAACACAAACAATCACACAAACAAACATACAAACACAACAACAAACACCCAAACATACAAAACCACACAACCAAACAAACAACAACACAACCCAAACAACAACAAACAACATCAAAAACCCAACCCACACAACCACCCATACAAACCAAAACCAACAACCAAACATACCCAACCCACAAACCCAAACAAACCACATACAAACATTACCTCACCACACCACAACAACAAACAAACCAAACCACAAAACCCAAACAAAACAAACATAAAACATATAATCCTACCTCCCCACTTTTACTTAATCATCTCACCCCACCTCTCATTATTTCTACTTACTCTTTCCCCTCCTCCCTCCCAACACTCCCCCCCCCCCCCCCCCCCCCCCACACCCCCCAACCACCTTCACCTAAAACTACTCTAACACTAACATTCAACCCCCTCTTCCTCCTACCCACTAATCATTCCCATAATCTATCATATTCCCCTTCAAATCCCCCTACCTCCACAAACACACTACAACCTCACACATCCCACCACCCAATCCCCCACCCAAACCTAAACCCCAACCCTCCCCTCATCCCACAATACCCCAACTCAAAACAATCTCTCTACCCTTCACTTTCCAAACAACCTCACCCCCCCACCCTCCCCCACAACATTACTTACAAACCCCTTCATATAAACAATCCCTACCAACACCAAAATCTCATAAACCAACAAACCCCCCTACATACCCCCACACAAATTAATTAAACCCCACCATAAATTCCACAACCCTTCTTTCTCCTCAATACCCTACTCTCACCAACAAACTATCCCTTCCCAAACCACACCCCCCCCACCTCAACCCTCCCACCCCCCCATTCAACAATACCCTCCCTACCCATCCTTCTTCACCCACTTCACCATCCACTCCATTTCAATCCCAACAAAATATTCTTCCACCCCACCACACACCCTTTACCACCACCCAAAAACCCCTAATCCAAACTCACCTAACCACTTTTAAATACCCCCAATAAACCCAACCCACACATCTTCCTTAATAAAACAATTAAACCCCACATACCACCTCACAACCCAACACACCCCCTCTCATTATATTACCTACCCCAAACTACCCCTCCTCAACAACCCATACACCACACCAACCACCAACACAAACCTATACAACCTTACCACAACACCCCCACACCATCAACCACCCACCATCAACACACATTACATCCACCCAAACTCCCCCCTCCAAACCCAACCACAATACTCCCCCAAACATACACATCACCACCCCTAAAAACACCATCATAAACAATCCTACCACCACAAACCCCCCCCACCATACACACTCAACCCTAAAACCCCCCCCCCCCCTAACAAAACCATTTCATCCCTCAAACCACACCTTCTCAAACAATTCACAAATACATACACACAAAACTTATACTTACCCCCCATCCCCTCAACCCCCCCACCACACACCAACCAACCCCCAAACCCCCCACCATTTTAATATAATATCCCTACCAAAACCCACCACATACCCCCCACCTCACCTAATACCCCCCACCTCCCACCATCCCCCCACCTCCCACCCCACCCAACCCCACACAATAACATCACAACACTCCACTCTATACCCCACCCCAAACCTATCAACACCCCACCCCCCAACACAACCAAAACCACCCCACACCCCCACCATCAAACCCCCAACTCCCCACTCTACAAAAAAATACCCCCCTCCCCATCCACCCCCAACCAATAACACAAACCCCCTACAAACCCCACCACCATTCAAACCCCCCCCCACCCCCCCACCTACAACACCCCTCCCACTCCACATCACAACCCCCACAACACCTCAAACCCCCCCCCACACTCAACCCATCCACCATCCACAAACCCACAACCCCCACCTCTCCCCCCCACTAACAACAATCACTACACTATCCCACACCACCACACCTATCCTCCCCTCCCACCTCACAACCAACCCCCCCCCCCTCCCCCACCACTACACAAAAACTCCCAAACACCTCCCCCCACTTCCCCACACACTCACCCACACATAAAATTCACTCATACTCATCAAACCACCCCTAAACCTCCACCCACACCCAATCAACACAACTCCAAAACATACCACCACACCTACCCAACCCCACCCCCCCCCCACCATACCCCCCCACCACCACCAAACCCCTACCCCTCACCAAACCACCCCAACAACCCACCCCCCAAACCACACCCCCAACCCCCACAACCACACCTACCCACCCACCACACACCACTCCCACAAATCACCACCCCCCCCACCCCCAAACACCCAACCCACACACCACCAAAACCCAACAAACCACAACCAAAACACTCCACCCCCCCACACCACCAACACCCAACAAACAACCAAACACACAAACTAACCCAAACACCCAACAACCCCCCAACCCCACCACCAACACCCCACACACACACCACCCAACCCACACCCACACCCACCCACCACCCCACCACCACCACCCACACCCCACACCCAACCACCACACAAACCCCCCACCACCCCCCACCCCCACCACCACCCACACCCCCCACCCAACCACCCCCCCCCCCCAAACCCCCACCCCCCCACCCCCAACCAACCCACAACAAACCACCCACACACAACAAACACCCCCACAACCCAACCCCCAAACCCCCACCCCCCAACCCACACACCCCACAACCCCAACCCACCCCACCACCACCCACAACACCCCCCCACAACCACCCACACCACCAACCCCCCACCCAAAACCACACCACAAAAAACACACCACCCCCACACCAACCACCCACCACCAAAAACAACCCCCACACCCACCACACCCAACACCACCCCCACCACACAACCCCCACCCAAACACCACCACCCCAACCCCCCCAACCCAAACACACACACCCCAACCCCCCCACCCCCCCCCCCCCCCACCCCCCAACCACACCACAACCCCCCCACCCCCCCCCCACCCCAACCCCCCCACCCCCCCCCACCACACCCCCCCCACCACCCCACACCCCCACCCCCCCCCCCCCCACACCACCACACACACCACCCCACACCACCCCCCACCCACACCCCCCCCCCCACACACCACCCCCACAACACCCACCCCCCCCCAAACACCCACCCCACCACACCAAACCCCCACACCAACCCACCCCCACCCCCCACCCACCCCCCCCCCACACACACCAACAACCCCCCCACCCCCCAACCCCCACACCCCACCACCCCACACACAACAAACACCACCACCACACCCACCCAACCCACCAACAACAAAAAACCCACCACCACCCCAACACAACAACACAACCAAAAACAACAAACACAAAACCACCACCCCACCCACAAAACCCACACCCCCCACCCAACCCCCCCCCAACACACCCCACCAAACACCCACCAAACCAACCAACACCCACCCAAACCCAACCCCCCCCCCACCCCAAACACCACCACAACACCCCCCAAACCCCACACACAACACCCCACCCACAAACCCAACAACCCCCCCCACACAACAACACCAAAAAACCACCCCCCCACCCCACACCACCACCACACACCCCCCACACCCACCCACCACCACCCACCCCTACAACCACCACACAACAAACAACCCAACACCAACCCACCACAAACCCCCAAACACACCACACCACCAAACTCACCCCACCAACCCCCCCCCACAAACAAACACCACACAACAACACCAACAACCCAAAAACAACCCAAAACCCACCACAACAACACAAACACCCACACAACAACAAAAACACACCCCACCCAAACCACACACACCAAACAAACAACACACAAACAAACAAAAACACACACCCAACAATCACAAACAACACCACAACCACCCCCCACCACAACAAACCAAAACCCCCAACACAACACCCCACACAACACCCCCCCCAACAACCCCCACCCCCCCAAAACAACACCCACAACACACCCACACCACCCAAACCCACACAAAAAAAACCCCACAACAAAAAACCAAACCACACCAACAAAAAAAAAACCAACCAAAACAACCCACCAAAAACCAACACCACCCAACAACAAAACACAACCCCCCCCCAACCCCCTACACCCCCCAAACCCACACACAACACCACACCTCCCACCCCCCCACACAACCCCCACACCACCCCACCCCCACCTACACACAACAACCCCCCCACCACCAACCAAACAACCCAACACCCAACACCCAAATCAACACCCACCCACACAACCTCTCCACCCACACCCCAATCAACCCATCCCACAAATAACTCCCACTCCCCAAAATCACCACCAAAACCCCACACCACCACAACCCCCCAACCCCCCACACCCCCACACCCCCCCTCACCCCCTCCACCCCCAACCCCCACACCCCCACCCACCCCCTAAACCCACAAATTACCAAACACATCCCCCAATAATCACTAAACACCCCCTCCCCCCCATAAACCTCTCCTCCACCCCTATTACCCTCAACTCAACATCTAATTTCTCCATCCCCTTTCATACCAATTAAATTTCAACACACACACAATTCACTACAACCTTTCCTTTTCACCAAACTCTTCAAACTCATAACAAACCACAAACTCCAACCCCAACCAACTATACATTACCATCCCAAACCCCACCCAACCAATCCAACCCACAATCAAATATCCACATCCCCTCTCCTCCTCCCCCCTTCTCCCCAAACCCCAACAAACCTACAATTATCTAACACAACCCCATATAAACTTCACCCCCATTCCACCAATTCCCACAACCCTAAAAACCCCCCCACACATACATACCATCATCTACTCCCACATCCCCACCCCCACACCTACCCACTCACTCAACCTCACACCCACAACCAACTAACATTCCCACTCATCACCCCACACCCACTCAACACACTATATCACCCACAAACCACAAACTCATCCACCCCCCATACCCACAACCATTCAACCCATACACAACCCCAACCACCCCCCATCACACACCCTATAATATCATACCCTAACCCAAAACTCTCACACCCAAACCACCCACATCTCCACCAACCCTCCTACCCCCTTAAACACCCCTACCCTTCCCCTCCCATACACCCTACCATCATTCCCCACCCCTTCCACCACTAACCATCAAACTCCCACCACACATTTAACCCCCCCCAATACATACCCCTCCACAAAACACCATCTACATCTACACCCAAAACCCTCTCTTTATCCCTCCCCCCCACCCACACACCCCTCCATACACCTCTATAACACCATCTTATATAAATTTCCCCTCTATCACATACAATCCCCAAAACCCAAATAATCACATTACCCCTATTAAACCCCCTTACTCCACCCTATCCCTACTTAACATCCCCCATCCCCCCAACCCAACACCATACCTCTATCCCACCCCCCTTCCCAAACCCCCACACCCCCAAAATCAATTTTCCCCAATATATTTTATCTTCAACCCCATAAACAATCCCCTACTAAATCTCATCCCCCCCCCATCCCTTCCACACATCTCACATCTACAAACAACCTAACCCCATACCAACACTACACCCTTACCCACCAACAACACACCCCCCCCCCCCCTTCAACCTACCACCTTACCTATCCCCCCCCTCCCCTCTAACATCAACTCCCACACACCTACCCCCCCCCCCACCCCCCCCCACTCCTACCACACCCACATCCCAACACACCATCACTCATAAAACCCAATCACCTCCCCCCCCCACAAACCCACTCCCCTCCTCTACCCACACACTTACCCCCACCCACACCCACCCACCCATCCTCCCATACTCCCACCACCCCACCACCCTCCTCCCCATCCATCCCCTCCACCCACCCACCCACCTCTCCCAAACCCACCCCCAACCCCCCCAACACCCCACCACCACCACCCCCCCCCACTCCCATACTCCCACCCCACAACCCACCACCCCAACACCCAACCCCCCCACCAACCACCCCTACACCCCCCCCCCCCCACCCCCACCTCCCAACTACCCACCACCCACCCCACAACCCCCCATTCACCCACCCACCTTCCCCCCTACTCACAATCACCCGCCCCCCACCCCTACACACCCAACTCAAACCACAACCACACCCTCACCCAACCCCCCCCCAACCAACCATACCCCCCCATCCATACCACAACCACACAATACACACAAACAAAACAACAAACACACACAAACTACCCAAATTAACCACCACACATAACAACACCTCCAACCCCCATCCTTATCCAACCCCACCCAACACACACAACCCCACCACCACACCACCAAAACAATAACCTATCCCCCCACCCCACCCCCCCCCATATCATCACACCCATACCCCAACCTCCAATTCCCTACCTTACCAAAAACCCATAACCATACCCCACCCCCCAACCAACTACTCCATACCACACAAATCCCAACCCCATCCCAACACCCCCTCCCAACACCCACCCCAACCCACCCCTCCCCCATCCTCACCCCCCACCCCCAACTTCCCTCCCCATCCCCATAACCACAACTTCACTTCCCCATCCCTTCCCTCCAACCAACAAAAACACCCATCCCCTCATAAAACTACACACTCCAAAAATCTAATAACACTTCATTTCCACCTTCATACCTAAACCCCCCCCCAACCCCCCAACACACCTAAATCCCCCAAAACAACCTAATCCAATATTCCCACACCCCCCCCATACCACTTCATACCACACACCTAAAAAACCCATCTCCCCTTTTATCAAATCACCCACCCCCCAATCTTAACCCAACATCCCCCTTTCCCCCTCATCCCCCACTCAACAATTCCCAAAATACCAAACCTACTACCATCAAACCCCAACCACCCCATCAAACAAAAACCCAACCCCCCTATTTTTTTCTATCACTCAAAAACAAAAATACAAACCCACATAATTCAATCTACCAACCATCAAACCACCACTACCCCACATCCCTACATCTTCCCCCCCCATCCCACCCTACACCCACCACCCACCACCACCCCACCTTCCCACACACACCCACCAACCAAAATTCCCACCCCCACCAACAACCAATTCAATACCCAAAACCCACATCACCCCCACACCAAACAAACTTAAACACACCCACAACCCAAATAACAAACAAAAAACAACCAAACAATCCCACAAACAAACATACAAACACCCAAACACCACACAAACCAAACTACAAAACCAAACAACACACAAACAAACAACAACCCCCAAACCAACCCAAACAACAACATACAAACACCCAAACAACAAACAACAAACATACAAAACCAAAAACAACAAACACACATCAAACACCAAACAAACAAAACAAAACAAACATAAAAATATATCCCAAACAACCAAACAAACAAACATACAAACACCCATACAACCAAACAAACAACATAAACATATAATTACATACCAACTTCTTTCCTTATCATCTCACCCCACCCCTCCTTCAATTATTTCTAACTTACTCCTTTCCCCCTCCTCCTTCCCCACCCTACACCCCCCCCCCACCATCCCTAAACTACATCATAACACATCATCAACCTCTTCCCTCCTACCCACTATTCTTCCATAATTTATCATCATATTCCCCCCTTAATCCCCCTACCTACTTAAATATAACATTTACCTCACTCATCCATCCAACCACTAACCACCCAACCTAAACCAACACTCCCTCAATTCCCAATCACCCACAAATCCCAAATATATCCTCTCCCCTCCTCCTCCACTCTCCCCAAAACCTCCACCCCACATCCCCCCTTCCCCCATAATCTTATTAAATTCCCAATCCCAATATAAACAATCCCCACTACAAAACCAATATCATAATCAATACAAACACCCCTACAATACCCCAACAACAAAAACACTCCTCTTAAACCCTTCCATAAATTCCCCACACCCCCCTTCTTTCTCCTCATACCCTACTCTCACCATTTCAATCCTTCCCTTCCACTAAACCCCCCCACACAATAAATACACTCCACCCCCACATTCACAATATCCCCCACTCCCATACCCCCTCTTCATTCCACATCCTTCAACTTCTCTCCTCTAATCCCAAACCCCTTAATATTCCCTTCCCCCCAACACAAAACACACCATTTTCCACCCCACTACACTAAAACATTTATCCACTATCTCCCACTAACCCCCTTTTTAATAATTCTCATAAACCCAACCAAACCTCACTTCTTAACATACTATTAAACCCAACATACCCCCACCTAACAAAACAAAACACACCACCCCCTCTCCATTCAGATTACCATACCCCCCACAAACTACCCTCCTCCTAATCAACTACCACACCCAAACAACCAAACCACAAACCCTATACACCTTACCCACATATCCCACCAACCCTTCAACCCACCCACTTACACAATACATCAAAAACTCACCATCCAAACCCCAACCACAATACCCAACAACAAATACACATAACAATCCTATAAACACATCAATAACCTCATCTACCACAAATAAACCCAAACCACTAACACACTCAACCCATAAAACACCCCACTTCCAAAACCTCATTCCCAATCCCCTCATACACTCCCTTCTCAAAACCAAATTCACATATAACATACAAAAAAAATTTACTACCTCCCCATCCATTCCCACCCCTCCAAACAAAACCCTTAAACCCCCACTTCTTTTTATCAAATCCATCCCCTCAACATTCCCCCCCTCCTACTCCTCCATCCCAACACCCCAACCATCAATTACCCCATCTCACACACCATCCATCCCATCAATTACCATCCCAAAACCAACTCCAACACTTCCCAATCCAAATTCTATATCTACAACCAAACTCCTAAATAAAAAAACCACCCTCTCCACCCTCTTATACCCTACCTCCCTACATCCTGTTCATACATATCCCAAAACTACCCTAAAACCCAAAACTTTAAAAACAATAACCTAAAAAACCCACAATCTATAAAACAAAAAACCCACCTATTAAACCTCCCACTCCCAATACCTTCATCCCCCACTACTCCCTCTTACCCCCCTACCCTTTCCATTCCCTTCCCCCATCCCAATCACCCCCATCCCACAACTACTACCAATTCTATTTATTCTCTTCCCTATCCCAATCTCACACTCCTCCTACAATACACCCCTCTCTAATCCATCTCCCCCACAACTCCCCAAAAATCTACTATTTATTCCTCAATTCATCATACATCTTATCCAAATATCCCATACTTATATATTCTCTCCTACCTCCTTCCCAATAAACCACCTTTCCCTCAACCTCCCACTCTCTCTTTCAATCTTCTCCCACCAACACTATTCATACATCTCATTCCCCCCCTACATCTAACATCCATTCCACCTCCCCTCCATTCCCATCCTCCCCAACATCTCTCAACCCCTACCTCACAACCCCACCCCCTACAACCCAAACCACAAACCCCAAACCCCCCCCCCTATCCCCAACACTCTCTCCCTACACATTATTACAACTCACCACCTACCCACTTTTAACTCTCCCCCCCTTCTCTCTCCCCCCCCCTACTCTTACTTCCCCCCTTATTAATATACTATCTTACCTCCTACAACCCAATAATCCTTCCCACACTTCATCATCATTTATCCTACATTACTCAACCCTTCTCAACTATCCACAACATCCCCATCCACCCTACATACACCCCAACTTCTCTAACACATAACCCCTAACAATTTACCTACCCCTCAATAAACTAACCAAAACTCAATATCACTAACCCCAACCTAACATCATAAATACCAACCTCCCCCACCCCCTCTATCCTCCCTACCTACCCCAAAACATATCAATAACAACCCAAAACCCCACAAAAACAACAACCCCCCCCTAATACCCCCCAATATCAACACACCACAAATAATATTCTAACCCATCTTCCCCTTACCCATCCTAACCCCCCTAAAAACATCACCCCACATCCCCAAACCAAACACCACCAACCATAACCCCCCACACCATATCCCTATCATCCATTCCACACCTAAATCATACCCCCCTACATACAAATATTACAACCACACCCCCAATACCTAACCCCCCACCCCCCCAACCCACCACTTTATCACCCAACACCCAACCACACCCACCCTTCACACCACCCAAACCCACATAAACATACCACCCAAAATCCCCATACTCCACCTCCCCCCTTTAAAAACCCCCACCAATCCCCAAAACCAATCAAAACCCTCCCCTCCCCCCCACCACCCCCCCCCCCCTACACCCCCCCCCCCCAACCTCACCACAAACCCCCACCCCAACACACCCACCACCCACCCCCCCTTCCCCACACCACCCCCCCCCCCCACCAACACCCAAACTCACCCCCAACCCCCCCCCACACCCCCCACCCACCAAATAATACTACTCACACATACCCACACAACCACAACACACACCTCCCCCCACTCCATCTACAAACCACAAAAATACACACACACACCCTTACCCTCCCCACTAAATCATCATTCACCACCATCTACTCAACCTCACAACAACCCCACCACCCCCCCACCACACTAAAACATTCCCCCCACCCCCTTCCCACCCCAAATCCCCAACCACAAACAACAATCTACCTCCCGACTACTCCAAAAACCATCCCATTACATCCATCTTCATCCTTTTCTATTAACTCCTACTACACCTTATATTATCTCCTTCTTCTTTTTCTATTATATTTTATCTTTTACTCATACCCTACTCCTTTTCCTCATCCACTACCAACACACCCTCAAACCTACACATAAATTTATACCACTACTTCCTCACTTCCAACTACCCAAACCTCCCTTTCCCCAAAAACCCCCTCCCTAACCCCTTCTCATACTCATTCACCCCACATCCCCTCTTCCCCCCCTCCTCACTCTTCCTACCACCATAAACCCCTAATTCATTTCTCACCCCCCTCACTACTTCTTCAATCCTTCTATACCCCCTCACCACCCCATAACAACAATCAAATCATCATCCTAAACCTTACTAAACCACCCCCCACCCCTCAATTCCCCTTACACTCTTTCCATCCTCCTCTTCTTTTCTCTACATCTCCCGTAATTACCCTACTATTTTCCAACCTCTCTATCTCTATTCCTCCTCTTCCTATAACCCTCATTCCCAACCACCACCTCATATTACTTTTCTCTATATTATTCTCCTTCTATTATTCCTTCCCCTTTTAACCCTCCCTCTTCTCTCATCACTCCTCATCCCCCCATTCTCTTCTTCTCTTTTTATCATCCACACTCACCTTTCCCTCATATATATTTTCCTATTACCCCTTAATCTCTTTATTAATTCTATCATCAACATATACTAATCATATCTTATCATCTACAACCTAATCTAAACAACCAATATACCAAAAATCATACCCAAACCTCAACTTCTACACCATCACACAACTCACATCCACTTACACCCCACTCTCCTCTAACAATCCCCACTAACAATAAATCTCTTTTTTACATACCTCAACTCATCTACACTTCAACTCACAAAATAAACTCTCATTACATTCCATCTTTACTAACACTACCCTTTTCACTTATACATCCCTTCTAACTATCTTTCCACACCACCCCCCTCATTACCACATCCTTACAATCCACCTTATCCTATCCTCCTCAACCCCCCATAAATTCCCACTCTCGCAACACCAACCCCCATCTTATCTCTTTCAAAAAATACTCAATCCCCCCTCTTCCCCCTTATCCACACCTCTCACCATATTCTACCACATATCCATAAATCTCCCAAACAATACCAAACCATAATAACTAATATAACTCCAATATACCTATTTTAAAACCCTACTTTCCACCTATCACAATTTCATCCCCATCACCCCTACCCCCCACCTCAACACCCCCCATCCCCACCCCTAACCCCCTCTCCCCCCTACACCACCCTTTCCTCTCCTATCTACCTAACAATCCATTCATCATAAACCAACCCCTCCCCCATAAACTATCCTCCCACCCCTTTACCCCCTCAACCTAACCAATCCGATTTCCTCCATCCCCTTATCCTCCCCCCAATTAAATCTTCAACAAACTACACATCCAATACATCCACAATTTCCTTTCACCTTTACCCTCCCAAATCTCCAAAATAATAACTACCACAAACTCCAACCCCACCCCAATCCATACTAAAATTCCCTCCAACCCCACCAACCAATCCACAAATCAATAATCCCCCCATCCCTCTCCTCCCCCTCCCCCCTTCTCCCCACCCCACACCAAACACTACCCAACTTATTCCTATCCCAAACCCATATAAAATACACCCACATATTCCACACATCTAACAACCTAAACCCCCCACAACCACCTCTATACCCCCATCCATATCACTCCCCATACACTACCCACCATACCCACTCACTCATCCCTCACAACCCATCCCAACATTAACATTCACCACTCTTCACCCCCACACCACTAAACAAACTTCCATAACCACATAACCCCACACACTCCATCCACCCCTGACCCACATCATTCAACCATACACAACCCAAAACACCCAACATCTAAACCACCATAAAATTCCATACCCCACCTAAAAAAATATCCAACAAACACACAACTATCCACCAAACCCCACTCCTTCCCAACCTCATCACAAACCATACCACCTCTCCCCGACCCTCCAACATAACACAACAATCACCATCTTCTCCCATCCCCCTTCACCCACTTAAATTCCCCAACACATCCCACCCACACTAATTTCCTATTTCCCCCCCCAATCCCATACCCTCTCAAACATCACACCCATCTCTTCCCTCCAAACCAAATCATACTATTTTTCCCCTCACACAAAAACAGAAACTTCCCCCTACTCACCATATATCACCTCATCTATATTTACTTTCCCTCCTTTCAATCACCAATCCCACAAACCCCACCCAATAATCACATTACCCCTACTATCCCCCCCAAACCAATTCACTCCACCCATCCCCTAATTACATCCCACCCATCACCCACACCCCCATCCATACTCTTATCCCACCCCCCCCTTCCCCAAACCCCCCCCACACCCCCCTTTATAAATTTTACACTATATATCTTTCTCTTCTCCAAATCTCTCATCACTCTTACATCTCATCCCCCCCATCACCTTCATATCCTAACTCTCAAACACAACCTAACCCCATAACAAAACTAAACCTTATCCCATCAACCAACACATCCCCAACCACCCCCCTCCAACATAATACCCCTCCCTTAATTCACACACCCTCCCCCTTTCCTCCCTCTCATACATCAACCTCAATACCTTCCACCCACCCCCACAACCACCCCATCTCTAACTGAACATAATCATCAAAGCAATAACATACATTTATCCATTCATACACATCCCCCCCACCATCAAATCAATTCCACTCCTCTCACCAACTACTTCTCCCCCTCCCACCCACCCCCCACCATCCTCCCATTACTTCCCAACCCACCCACCAACCCATTCTCCATACTTCCCCTCCCACCCACCACCACCCATCCTCCCCATAATCCACCACCACACACCCATCCTCCCCATACTCCACCCACCCACCCACCCATCTCCAATACTCCACCACCCACCCACATCCTCCATACTCCCACCACCACCCACCATCCTCCCATACTCCCACCACCCCACCCACCCATCCTCCCATACTCCCACCCCCCACCAACATCACCAATCACCCACCCACCTTCCCCATAATACAATCACCCACCCACCCACCCCTACACAAACAAATCAAACCTTACCACAAACTCACACCATACCCACAAACTAAAAAACAATACCCCCCATCCATACCAAACAACCACACAAAATAAAAAACAAACAACAAACTAAAAAAACCAATACCAAAAATTACCACCACACCAATCCTCTTTACCTTCTACTACTCTTCACCCATCTTTCCCACCCCTCTAAACTCCACACTCCCCTCTCATCTCCTAATCTTCCCAATAACACTATCCCCCCACCCCTTCCAAACAACCCTTCATCAAACACCATACCCATACCCCTTCCATTCCTCCTTCACAAAACCAATAAAAATTCCACAAACCCCAACATAATACTAACTTACCCCCACCTCCTCAATCTCCCAAACCCCATCACAAAAACCACCTCAAAAAAATCACAAACCCCCCATCCCACCCCAATCCCCCTATCATCACCCCAACCACCAAATCCATAAATAACCATAACCACTACTATAACTTCACCCCATCCCCCCCATCCCCTCCACACACACACAAAACCACACCACCTAAATAATCATCTCCTCTCACAAAAAACCATATATTACCCCAAATTAACCTTCCCCACCTTCATACCCCTAAACCCCCCCCCCAACCCCCAACTAACCTAAGATACACACAAATACCCTAACTAATCCTATATTCTCCACACCCCCCCTACAATTCATACCCAACACCTAAAAACCATATCCACTTTTTCATCAATCCCTCCCACCCCAATCCTTAACCCACATAACCTTTACCCCCCTCATACCCCCACTCCAAAATCCCCAACATACCCCAAACCATAATAACTTTCCTACCATACACCCATCCAAAACTAAATACACACAACCCTCTATCACATCAACACAACAAAAAAACTACAACACACCATCTATTCAATTCCCTACCATAACATCCAACACCAAACACCCCACATCCTACATTATTCCCCCCCCCATCCACCTACTACCCTCAAACCCACCCACCCACCACCCTTAAATACTACATACCCACCAACCAAAATTCCCACCCCCTCCCACCAACCAATCCATACCCACAACAATCAACCCACACACCAAAACAAACTTAACAACACCCACAACCCCAAAAAACAAACAAACAAACACAAACATCCACACAAACAAACATAAAAACCAAACACCAACAAACAAACATACACCACCAACAACCAAACAACAAACAACAAAACCAACAACCAACAATACAACATACAAACCCCAAAAACCAAAAAACAAACATACAAACACCAAAAACAAACATACAACATACAAACACCAACACCAACCAACAACATACCAACATATACTCACCAAAAACCAAACAACAAACATACAAAACACCCAAAAACAAACAAACAAACATAACCATATAATCCTTACATCACCAACTTTATATATATCTCACCCAACCCCATCACCTTCAAATAAATTCCTACTTCCTCTTTCCCCCCTCCCTCCTCCCAACACTACACCCAACCACCCATTTCAAAACTAACATCTAAAACAATCATCCAAACCCTTCCTCCTACCACCCTATTTCAATAACTTACCATATTCCATTATCCCCTACCTACATAAATATCACATATACCCTTCACTACCTCCATCCAAACATAACCCACCCCAACTACACCCAACCACTCCCCTCTTCCACAATCACCACAATCCAAATATATTACTCTCCTTCTTCTCTTCACTTCCCCAACACCACCTCCACCCCCACATCCCCCTCCCCATCATATTTACTTAAAATTCCATTATTTACACAATCCCATACCCAAAAACCAATACTCATAAACCCATACCAACACCTCACCAATAACCCAAACAAAACTTCTTAAACCCTCATAAATTTCCACACCCCTTTTTCTTCTCAATACCAACTCTAATTAAATTTCCCTTCCCACCCTAAACCCCCAAAAAAAACCACCCACCCCACAAACACATCTACTCCCAACCCCCCACCCTAAAATCACTATACAACTTACATAACATCCCCCATAATATACAACCCCCCCCCACCAACCACCCCATACCCCCACTACACCTAACACCAATATCCATAATCCCCCCCTAACCCAACCATATTACACAAAATCAACCACCCCACTAAACCTTACCACTCAACCCCCAACAAACCCACCTCACCCCAACCACAACCCCCTCTCCTACATAATTACTACCCCCCCCCCAATAAACCCTCTCCTAATCAACCATACACCCCCAACCACCCCACACCACCAATACAACTAACCACATAACCACACAAACCCCTTCACACCCACCCCCTTAACAACCACATTACCTAAACAAACTCCCCCTTCCAAACCCAAACCACACTACAACAACAAACATACCCTAACCAATCTAATTAACCACCTCCTAACCTATCTACCACACAATCAACCCACACACCACAAAACACTCCACATAAAACCCATTCCAAAACCCATTTCCCATCTCCAATACACACCCTACTCCAAAACCCCAATACAAAAAATACAAACAACACCCCATAACATCCTCCCCTCCCCATAACCCCCAACCCCCCCCCCCCCACCACCCCCCCACCAACCTAAAAACATCCAAACCCAAAAACCACCCCCAACCCCCCCCACCACACCACAACCCCACCAAAACCCACAAAACCCCATTCCCCACCCCCTCAACCCCTCATACCACAACACCAAATCAACCCCACATCAAACCCCCCTACATTACTAACCCAACCAAACCCCTAATATCCACTACACCACACCCACCCATCCTTAAAAATTACTACCCACAACCCACCTCAAACACCAAACCAAACAACAACTCCCCCCACCCCCACCAACTTAAAAACAATCCCAAAACAACACACAATCTATACAAAAAAAAAACCAACCATTAACAATTAAAAACCACCCCCTCACTCTCAATCCCCCCTCCTTCCCCTCCTACAAACCCCCACACCTCACAACCATCACACCACCCCACCCAACCCCCCCCCCCCCCCCATAATATCCCCCCTCTCACCCAATTCTCCAATCTACAACAAACCAAATCACAACCCCACCCCTCCACAAACCCAACAACACATACCATCTCCCCCCAACCCTCCCCCCCCCCACAAATCCAAAAATTATTATCCAACCAACTCAACCATCTTCATACAATATCCCCATAAATATTTCTCTCAAACTTATCCCCCAAACCCCCCACTACCTACACCTCCACCCTCTCAATCAATCACTTCCTACTCCACATCTTATTCCTACTCACCATCCCCCTACATCCCTCCAACCCATCCCCCATTCCACCTCACCCCCCCTATCCCCTTCCCCAACATATCTTCACCCTACCATCTTCCCCCCTCAACCCTTCCTCCCTAACTACCTCTCCATCTCTTTACCCTATAATCCTATCCCTCTCACTCATTTTAACTACTCCACACCTTCACCCACCCCTTAACCTCCTCCTTCTCTCCCCTACAACACTCCCCCTTCTCACCCCATATTTATATAAACTCCACTTACCCTCCCTAACCCACCCAATAATTAACCCCCTTCTTTACTCAAAAATATCTATATTACAACACTCCAACATCTACCCCACAATTCAATCAACAATACTCAACCCACATATCTCCTCCCATAAAACCCCTTACCTCATACAAAAACAAAAACAAAAAACAAAAAAAACACACACAACACCACCCAAACCCCCACTACACCCACCCACTCCCCACCCCCAACCACCACACCACCCCCCAACCAAAAACAAATACACCAACCCCCCCACCACCCCACAACCACCACCCACCCAACACCCCCCCACCCCACCCCCCCCCCCCCACCCCACCCCCCCCACCCACCACCCCCACAACACAACCCCACAACCACAAAAACCCCACAACCCAACCCCCCACAACCCCCCACACACCCACCCAAACCCCCCCCCACCCCCCCAACCCCAACACCACCTACCAAACACCCCCCCCCACCCCCACACCCCCACCACACAACCCCCCCCACACCCACACCCCCAACACACAAAAACAAACACCCCCAACAAACCACAACCACCCAAAACACACCCCCCAACCACCCCCACCAACACCAACACACCCCCCACCCCCCACCCACACACCCCCCACCAAACACACCACCCCCCCCCAACCAACCACACATCCACACCCCCACCCCCCCCACCCCCCCAACACACCACAACCCCACCCCCCCCCCCACCCACACCCCCCCCCACCAACCCCCCCCCCACCCACCCCCACCACCCCCCACCCCCCCCCCCCCACCACACCACCACACAACCCACCCCAACCCACCCCCACACACCCCCCCCACCCAAACCCCCACAACCACCACCCCCCCCCAACACCCCACCCCACAACACCAACACCCCCCCAACCACCACACCCCACCCCCCCCCCCCCCCACCCCACACCAACAACACCCACCCCCCCAACCCCACACCCCCCACCACCACCACACTCCACAAACACCACACACACACCACCCACCACACCATCAACCCAAACACACACCACCCACCACCCCAACACCACACACACAACAACAAAAACACTCCATCAAAACAAAAAACCCAACCACCCCCACCCACCCCCCAAAACCCCATCCACCCCCCACCAAACCCCCCCAACACACCCACCCAACACCCCCCCCTCCAAAACCAAACACCCCACCACCATACCCCCACCCCCCCCCTCCCCACCCCCCACACACCACCACAACCCCCCACCCCTTACCCCCACCACCACTACACCCCCAACCCCCACAACCCAAACCACTCCCCCCACCCACAAACCACCAACATCACACACCCCCCCCACACCCACACAACACACACACATACAAACACCCCCAACCCAACCACAACCAACCCCAAAACACACCAACAACAAACACAACACAAACCTACCACCACCAAACCCCAACACAACATCCAACCAAACAACCACCACCCCCCCCCCCCACACAACAAACACCACACAAACAATCACCAACACCCCATAATCTTACGCAAAACACCCCAAATCCCACACCACAAACCCCCCTAACACAACTAAATAAACACCCCCAACCTTACCACAAATAAAACAACACCAAATACAATTCCTAAAAACCACAACACAACTACATCAAATACTTACAACACACCTACAACCCAAAAACACACACCAATACCCCCAACAACAACCCCACCCCACACAACAACCCCCAACAAAACAACCTCCCCATCTCCAATCACATACACTATCAACAACTCACACCAATAACCACAAAAAATTAACCACAAACACAATACACCCCCAACACCACACAACCCTAACAAACTACAAAACAAACCATAAATCCCCACCACAAACCCAATCCACCCAACATAATAAACCACAACCCCCCCACCACCACACCCACCCACCACCAACCCCCCACACACAACACCAACACAACACCCCCCCACCTACCCCCACACACAACCCCCCCCCACCAACACACCACACCCCCCACCACCCTCCCAACAAAACACCCCCAACACCAACACCAAACCCCCCCACACCACCCAACACCCCCCCCACCCCCCCTCAAAACACCACTCCACCACTACACAAAACCCTCAAACCACACCCACACCCCACCACCCCAACCCCCCCACCCCACCCCCCCACCCCCCCCCATCACCCCAACACCCCCCCTACCCCCCACCCCAAAACCCTCTCTAACCCCCAACAACCCCCCCACCCATCACCAAAACCCACCCCCACCCCCACACCCCCAACCACCCCCTATACCCCACCCTCACCCACCAAAAAAACCACCCACCCCTTAAAACCCCATACCACACACCAAACACCACACTCCCCAAAAAATCCTCCACACAAACCTATACCCAAAACAAACACCCTACACCCTCCCCCACCACCCCCCCCCCCCCAACCCCCACCAACCAATCCCCACCCCCCCACCACACCACCCACCACCCTCCTCACATCCCTCCTCACACCCCCAACTCCCACCAACCCACTCCCAATACACTATCAACCCCCAAAACAACATACCCCCCAAAACCAACATCACCCCCCACCCTAAACCCCCCCCCCCCCACAAACCCACCAACTCACACCCATCCAACCCCCCCAACCCATCCCATCATCCCACACCCCAAACACAACTTACACAATCCCCTCTTCACCCACACACCACTACACACACATCAAACCCACATAACCACAAACTAACCACCCCCTTACCCACCACCAACAACCCATACCCCACCCCCCCCCAACAAACAACACCCTACCATAAAACCCCCCCCACCCAAACAACACAAACAAAAAACACCAAACAAAAATCTCACCCCCCCACACCCAAACCACACACCCCTCATCCCACACAAAACCATACCCCTACCCCCCACCCACCCCCAACCCCTCTAACCACACCCACAACCCCCCTACCTACACCCAACCCCACCCCCCACAAAAAAAACCCCCACCATACACCACCACACCCCCACACTAACCAACCCCCAACCAATCTTAACCCCACCCCCCCCCCACCAAACACACCCCCACAACACAAACCACAACAAAACAAACAAACCACCCCAACCCCATCCCAACCCCACACTCTCACAAACCCCCACACTACCCACCACACCCACCCCAAACACCAACCATCCCCCCAACCCCCCCCCCCCCACCCCAACCCCCACTACCCCCCCAACCCCCCCCCAACCCCCCCCCCAAACACACAAACCCTACACAAATCCACTACACAAATTCAACCAACAATCATCCACACCCCCCACCCCTTCACACCTCCACACACCCTACCACACCACCCATACCAACCCAAACCCATCACCCAACCACAACACACCCCCCCCCCCCACACCCACAAACCTTTCCTACACCCACCCATAACATCTACCATAATCACAACCTACCACCCCCACCCCAATACTACCTACCCACATCCCATACCCACAACCATACTACCTAATATCACATCCCCACATACAACCCTCAACCACTACCACCAACACCTTCCCCACCCCTACCCCCCCACCCCCCCAACACCCCAACACCCCCCCCCACCCCCCACCTCCCTACTTCCCATCCAACACCCACCACCCATCACCCATACCTCCCACCCCCACCCACCATCCTCCATCCATCCCACCCCACCCACCCTCTCCCCTAACCCCACCCCCCCCCCCCCACCACCCATCCACCCCCCCCCCCCCCCCCCACCACCCAAACACCCCCCCCCCCCCCCCACCACCCCACACCACCCCCCCCCCCCCACCCCCCAACCCCCACCCCCCCATCCCCCCACACCCCCAACCCCCCCCCACACCCCCCCCCCCACCCAACCCCCCACCAACCCCCACCCCACCCCCAACACCCCCACCCCCCCCCCCAACCACCCCCCCCCACAAACAACCCACACAACATACCAAACAACCACACAAACAACAAACACAAACTACAAAAATTCACCCACCACATCCTCTTTATCTACTACTCCTTCCCCCCCCATCCCTTTTCCCCCCCCTCTCAACTCCACACCCCTCCCCTCCTCTCTCCTACATCTTCCCAATAACACTATCCCCCACCCCTACAAACAACCCATCATCAAACCATACCCATACCCTCCAATCCTCCTTTCAAAAAACAATAAAAAATTCCCACAAACCAACCTAATACTAACTTACCCACCTCCTAACTCCCAACCCCCCCATCACAAACCACCCCCTCCAAAAAATCACAACACCCCCATCCCACCCCAATCCCCTCTAATCACCCCCCACACCAAATTCCATAAAAATACCCCATAACCATATATAACCTTACCCCTATCCCCCCCCTTCCCTCCACACACACACAAAACAACCCACACTAATAATCTAATCTCTCTCACAAAAAACCCCATATTATTACAATCACTTACCCACCTTTCATACCCCCTAAACCCCCCAACCCCCCCAACTCACTAATATCACCACACAAAAACCCTAAAATAATCTATAATTCTTCACACCCCCCACTAATCATACCCCACACCTAAAAACCCCTAATCCCTTTTCATCAAATCCCCACCACCCCAATCCTTAACACATTCCTTTCCCCCCCTCATCCCCCATCCAAAATTCCCAACATTACCAAACCTACAACCATTCCTACCAAACCAAACCCTCCAAAACAAAAAAACCACACCCTCTAATCCACCTCAAAACAACAACAAACTCACAAACCCACATCAATTCAATTCCCTACAAAATCCAAACACATACCCAATCCTATACACATTCTTCCCCCACATCTCACCTACACCACCCACCCACCCACAAACCAACCCTTCCAACAACACCACCCACACCAAAATCCACCCCCCCACCACAAACCCAATACATACCCACACCTATTCCCACCCACCCAACCATAACATACTAAAAACACCCCACACACCAAACAACAAACAACAAACACCAAACAATCACCCAACCAAACAATACAAACCAAAAACCAACAAACAAACATACAAAACCCAAAAACAAACAAACAAACACAAAACCCAAAAACAAACAAACAACCATAAAATAACCCAAACAAACAAACAAACATAAAAAACCCCAACAACAAACAAACAAACAAACACAACCCAAACACACACAAACCAACATCCCAACCCTATACTCCCCCAAACCAACACACCAACAAAATACCACCCAAACAACAAAAACATACCAAATCTAATTCCATACCAACTTTTTTTTCTCATTACCATCCTTACAAATTAATCTACTTACCTTTCCCTCCTCCACCCCCATACACTCCCCCCCTACACACCCAAACTCAACTCATCTAACATCTCATAACCCTTTCCTCTACCAATCATTTAATATCAATCATAATCCTTCCTCCCCTACCTAATAAATATAACTAACCAACATCATCTCCATCCACAATAACCCACCCAACCCTAAACAACCACTCCTCATTCACAATCACAAACTCCCCCAAATATATCCTCTATCTCAACTCACTCTCCCCCAAAAACCTCCACCCCCACTCCCCTTCCCCATAATCATTACTTAACTTCCCAATTAATATCACAATCCATACCCCAAACCAAATACTCAAACCCATACAAACACCCTACCAATACAACAAACTCTCTTAAACCCTCCATAAATTTCCCCACACCCCCTTCTTTTCTCAATCCCCTACTCCTCACCTATAATATCCTTCCTTCCCTACCTAAAACCCCCCACAACCATAATAACTCCCACCCCCACATTACAATATCCATCCATACCCCCTCATTCCTAATCCTTCAACTTTTCTCTCTACTCCCAACCCTTAAATATATCCCTTCCCCCAACACAAAAACACCATTTTACCCCACATACCCCTAAACTTCATCACTACTCCCCCTAACCACCTTTTTAATTCCCTATAACCCACCCACCCCTATTCCTTAAATCTTTCCAACATACCCACCACCTACAACCCAACCCCAACCCCCTCTCATTCATATAACCTACCCCCAACTACCCTCCTCCTAATCAACCATACCCCACCAACACCCAACACAAACTATAACAACTTCCACATAATCCCACAAACCCCCCCCCCCCCCCCCTTCACAACCCACCCACTTTAACACACATTACATAAAACTTCCACCCATCCAAACCCAACACACTACAACCACACAAACATACCATAACATTCCTAAAAAACACCCTCCATACCCTATCTACCACAATAAACCCAAAACCAACTAAACATCAACCCCATAAAACACCCCACATCCCCCAAAAAACCCATTTTCCCTCCTCCCACTCCCTTCTCAAAACAAATACATAAAAAACACAAAACCTTACTACATCCCCATCCCCCCATCCAACCCCTCCAAACAAAACCCATCAAACCCCACCTTCCCATTTTATTCAATCCAAACCTTCCACCTTCCCCCCCCTCCTATCCTCATCCCCCCAACCATCAAACCCCCCAACTCCCCACCCACCATCCCCACCTCATTACCATCCCCAAAACCAACTCAACCTCTTCCAATCCAAATCATATTACCAAACCCCCAAACCCTAATCTCAAATACCACCCTCTCACCCTTTATATACCCCTACCTCAACATCTTTATCACATATCCCAAAAAACTACCCAAAACCCCCAAAAACTTTAAAACAATAACCCTAAAAAACACACACTCTATAAAACAAACAACCAACCTATTAAACTCCCCACTCCCAACTACCCTCCATCCCCCCACTACTCCCTCTTACCCCTACCTTTCCATTCCCTATCCCGCATCAATTACCCCCCATCCCCACAACTACTCACCAATTCTATATCTCTCTCTAATCCAATCTCAAATCCCCCTCCTACAATACACTCTTAATCCATTCTCCCCCACACACTACACCCCTCCAAAATCCTATCATTATTTCCTCCAACCCTTCATCTCATCTCTATCCAATATCCCATCTATATTTCTCGCACTACTCCTTCCCCCACATAACACCCCACCTCTCCTCAACTCCACCCACTCTCTTCATCTTCTCCACCATCTCCCTATTTCCCATACATCTAATTCCCCCTCACAATCTCCCCACACCCCACCACCCTTTCCCCCACTCTCCCCCTTTCCCATCCTTCCCCAACCATTCACTCTCACCCCTACCCATCTCTTCCCCTCTCACCACCTTCCTCCTACCACCTCTCCACTCTCTTAACCCCCTCCATAATCCCCCTCATCCCCTCACCTCCATTTTACTCACTCCACCACCCCTCACCACCCTTACCTCTCCTCTCTCTCCTCCCCCCACACCCTCACCCCACATAACCCTATCCCCCTTATTACTCCTACTATCTCTACCCCTCCCCCCTCACAAACCACCCACATATAACTCTTCCACCTTCCATTTACAACAAAAAAAAAACACTTTATCCCCTCATTAACTTACACCCCCCTCTCCAAATCACCTCTCTTCCAAAATCCCCCTCCCCCACTCAACAATTCTAACCCCACTATCTCCCTATCACCCCCCCCCACCCCCAACCCACAACCCCAACACCCACCCACCACCCCACCCCCACCTCACACACCCCACACACACACAAAACCCCCCCCACCCCCCACCCACACACACCACCCCCCCCCCACCCACCCCCACCCCCCCCAACCCCCCACCCACCCCCAACCCCCCACCACCCCCCACAACACCACCCCACACACCACAAACTCCCACCACACCCCCAACCCCAGACCCCCCCCCCACCCCACACCCCCCCCCTCCCCCAAACCCCACCACACCCACCAACACCCCCCCACCCAACCACCAACACCACCAACCCCCCCCACCACCAAACCACAAAAAACACACCCCCCAACACAACACACCACCCACAAACACACCAACACCCACCACACCAAACACCCACCCCCCCACACACACCCCCACCAAACAACCCACCCAAACCCCCCCCCCAACCCAACCACACACACCCAACCCCACCCCCCCCCCCACCCCCCCCCCAACACACCCAACCACACCCACCCCCCACCCACCACCCCCCCCCCCCCCACCCACACCCCCCCCCCACCACCCCCACCAACCCCACCCCCCCCCCCCCCCACCACACCACCACAACACACACCCCAACCACCACCAACCCCCACCAACACCCCACAACCCACCACCCCCCAAACCCACCCACCCACACACACACCCCCACTCCACCCACCCCCACCCCCCACCCCCCCCCCCCCCCCAACACAACACAACCCCCCACCCCCACCCCCACACCCACCACCCCCCACCACACCCCACAAACACCACCCCACACCCACCCACCCCACCACAACAACACACACCCAACCACCCCAACACAACACACCAAAAAAAAACACAAACAAAACACAAAAACACACCCACACAAACCACACCCCCACACCCCAACACCACCCACCCAACCCCACCAAACCAACCACCACCCCCCACCCCAAACCCACCCCCCCACCACCCCCCACACAACACCACAAACCCCCCACAACCCCAAAACCCACCCCCACCAAAAAAAAAAAAACACCCCCACCCCCACCAACCCAACCACACCCCCCCACCCACAACACCCCACACAACAACCCACCCCCCCACCCCCACACCCACCACACCACCCCACACCCCCCCCCCACACCCAAACAAACCCCAACCCAAAACCACACAAACAAACAACCCAACAACCAACCCCACCACCCACCCAACACACAACCACCACAAACACACCCACCAACCCCCCCCCCCCCCACACAAAAAAAACCACACAACCAACACAACCACAACAACCCAACCCACAAACACCCACACAACACACCACACCAAACACCCCCATCACAACAAACCAAAAACAACCCACCCATACCACCACACCACAAAAACAACACCAACACACAAAACAACCAAACACACACACAACAACACAAACAACACACAACCACCACCACAACACACCCCCAAAACCCCCCAACAACAACACCCCCCACACAACCACCCCCCAAACAACCCCCCACCACAACCCAACCCACACACCAACCACACACAAACCCACCAAAAAAAACCACCACAACAAAACACCAAACCACACCCCAAACAAACAAAAACAACCCCAACCCAAAACACCCCCACCCAAAAACACACCCACCCAACAAACAACACAACCCCCCACCCCCCCCAACCCCCCCCCACAAACACACACCCACCACACCCACACCAACCCCCCCCCCCACCCAACCCCACACAAACCCCCCCCCCCACCACACCACACCACCCCCCACCACCCAACCCCAACAAAACACCCCCAACACCCAAACACTAACCCCCCCACACACCCACACCCCCCCCCACCCCCCCCAACTACACTACACTAACCCCCCCCCCACAACCCAAATACACCCAACCAACCCCCCACACCCCCACCCTCCCCCCAACCCCCCCCCACCACCCCCCCCCACCACCCCCCCCCCACCCCCCCCCCCACCCCACCCCCCCACCACCCCCCACACCCCCCCCCCAACAACCACACCAAACACCCACCCCCAACCCCCACTCCAACCCACCCCCCCCCCACCCCCAACCCCCCACACAACCCCAAACCCAAAAAAAACCCCCCCCCACCACCCACCACAAACCCACCCAAACAACCCCACCCCACACCCAAACCCCCCCACCCCACCCACTCCCCCCAAAACCAAAACCCAAAACCAAACCCACCACCCCCCACCCCCCACCCCCCCCCCCCCCCCCCCCCCCCACCCCCCCCCACCACCCCCCAAACCCACCACCCCCCCCCCCCCCACCCACCCCCACCCCACCACCCCCCACCCCACACCACCACCCCACACCCCCCCCCCCCCCCCCCCCACCCCCCCCCCCCCCACAAAACCCCCCCCACAACCACCCCCACAACCCACCCCCCCACAAACCCCCCACACCCCCCCCACCCCCCCCCCCACCCCACACCAACCACACCCACCCCACCCCCCCCCCCCCCCCCACCCCCCACCACCACCACCCCCCAAACCCACCCCCAACCCCAACCCCCCACAACCCCCCCCCCCACCCCCCCCACCACACCCACCCCCACACCCCCAACAAACCCCCTACCTCACCCAAACCCCCCACCCCCACCCCCCCCCCCCCCACCCCCCCCAAACCCAACCACCCCCACCCCCCCACACCCCCCACCCCCCCCCCCACCCCCCCCCCCACCCAACCCACAACCCCCCCCACCCCCACACCCACCCACCCCCCACCCACATCCACCCCACCCCAACCCCCAACCCAACCCCCACCCCACCCCACCAAACCACAAAAAAACAAAAAAAAACCCCCCACCACCACCAACACACCCCCCCCACACAACCACCACAACACAAACAAAACAACCCCACCCACCAACCCAAACACCCCCCCCCCCACCACCAACACACCCACCCACAACACAAACAAACCCCACAAAACACCCCACCCCCCCCCCCCCCCCACACAACCCCAACCCCCCCCACCACAACCCCCACAACCCCACCCCCAACCCTCAACCCACACCCACCACCCCCCCCCCCCCCCCCTCCCCCACAAACCCCCCCCCAACCACCCCCCCCACCCCCCAAACACAAAAAAACCCAATCACACAACCACACACCCACATACATCCCTCAACCAACACCCCCCCCCACCCCCCTACCACCCACCACCCCACTCACCCCCCCAACCCCTACCCTACCAAAACCAACATCCCACACCCCACCCCAATACCCCCCCCCCCCTACACCCAAAAACCCCCAAAAATACCCCCCCCCCCCCCACCATTAACAACCTCCCAAATAACACTACACCCCCCCCCCACCACCCAACACCCCCCCCCCCCCCCCCCCCCCCCCCCCCCCCCCCCCCCCAACAACCCAAAAACACACCACTACATACCTATCCCATAACACCATAATACCCACCTCCCCACACCCACCAATACCCACCCACCCATAACCCCTACCACTACCCCCCTCCCCCCCCCCCACCCCCCCCCTATCCTACCCCTACTCCCACCACCCACCCACCCAACTCCACCTTCCCACCCACCCCACCCACCCCTCCTCCCCATCCTACCCACCCCCCCCACCCACCCATCCTCCCATAACTCCCACCCCCCACCCACCCAACACCCCATCCCATCCCCCACCACCCACCCCACCACCCATAACACCCACCACCCCCCCCACCTACCCAAAACACCCACCCCCCAACCCCCCACCAACACCCCACACCCCCCCCCCCCCCACAACCACCCCTTCCCCCCCCCCCCCTAACCCCCCTCCACACCCACACCCCCCCCCACCACCCCAACACCCCACCCATTCAAACCATCAACCCCCAACTCACCTCACCCCAAACCCACAACCACCCCCACCCCCCCCCACACACCCTCCCCCCACCCACCCCCCCCCCACCCACAAAC